GTGCAATATATCTTATAGTTTGAACTATTGGTTTTCATATATATATATATATGTAAAATTAGAACGGGTAGATGAGTATGGTTTCCAATATTAGAGGGGCTGGGTTATAAGTTGTGCAATTTAGGCTGCACATAAAATAAATATTTGTGTATAAAACCCATCTTATCCGCAATATTATGATTAGTGCTAATGAGACCTCAAGTTCAATGGTTGATGATTTAGAGGATGAGACTCTAAAATCGTGGGATTATAAGTTCGACTTTTTTAAATAACTAAATTTTTTTAATTGTATATTTAATTTGAAAGAAATGAAGATGAATGTTTTTTTCTCTTAATTTTTTCTTATTTAAAAAAGTAAATAAATTTAAAAAAATAAAATAAAATTTTTTACCCTCTCCTACTCCAATTCTTTTGATAACCAAAATAAATTTTTTTTTCTTTTTCTTTCATTTCCTTTAATCTAAATTTATTATAAATTTTTTAAATTTTCTAATACCGTACTTAAGCGGCTATATCGATACTATGCAGACACTGTACATATTGCGATCAGAATGAGGTTCAATAATATTGACTCGATGTTCGGTGCACCGTTCTCAATTCCAATAACTGGGTCCAATTCCTCACTGTCCTTAAGAAGATAACAAAAAAACCCTAAAAATTTTTCAACAAAAAGGGAATTAAAGGCAATACAAAGAATGTTTTTTTTCTTTGATATTTACAGTTAACATGTCTTCAAATTAATTTTTGTATATTTCAAAATTAATTTTTCTCCAATCAAGCTTAAGGCACACACCCTCATATAACTTATCACATTTAAAAAAATTAATTAATTTTTTAAAATATTAATTTTAAAATTTAAATTTTAAACTTTAATTTTAATTTATAAAACAATATTTACTTAATTACCGATCATCGTGAATCAAACTCCTGGTATGGCAAGAGAGAAAGAGTTGCACGCACAGACACATTGCTCAAAAATCTTCAAACCACAGATAGTTATTGTGAATCCGAATTCAAAACCAGCTGGAAAATGAAATTTCAACTTTCAAACTCTGAAGGACTGGGAGGGAAACAAAAGGTATACGTACATATATATATATATTATGCAGAAATACTTAAATTCAATAGAATTACAAAAAGAAAAAGGGAATTATTAAATTGTACCTCACTATATATTAAATCTGTAGGTATAGAAGACAAATTTGAAAACTAGATACATGTAAAAGTGGTCATAAGCTTATTTAATGGGTTCGTCACGAGTGCAGACACTTGAGAGGATGAGATTCATAGATAGATGTGATACGTCAGGTGTCAATTGAAGAAGGCCTGCCATGAACGTGAAGGCCTGTGCAGTCGTCTGCACCCCTTACCCTCTGCCCTTTTAATTTCTGCAGCAAAGACTTGTCTTTCTTTTAATGCTCCCATGAAACCATCCCTTCTTTTATCACTAGCAACAAATTAGACATTACGTATATATCTTTCTATCTCATTACCACATCTAGGACTAGGAGATAATGTTATATCATTTACATGACGTATTGACGTTATAGTTACTCAAAATCCGCTAGGATTGAACTATGAGTAAAGGTGTAAAAAAGAATGTTAATTTTATTTTTTTATTTTAATTTAATGATGTTAATTTTGTTAATTTTTAAATAAAAATATTAATTTTTAATATTTTTTATTTAAAAATGTTAATTTTTAACTTTTTTTATTTAAGGATACCAACTTTCAATATTTTGGTTAATAAATTTATTTGCTACATTCGTATTATTATCCAATTAATCCTTAAATAGAAAAAAGTTTAAAAGTGGTATCCTTAAATTAAAAAAAGATTGAAAGTTGAAAGTTGACATTTTTATTTAAAAATTAATAAAATTAATATATTTAAATAAAAAAATTATAAAATTAACATCATTTTTTACACCTTTACTCATTGAACTACTAGCAGATTTAATTGACAATAACTACTTAAGCCCTTTGGTTGGTTGTTATCAAATTGAGAGTTCGACTCCCCCTTCTCCTTCCAACCTTATAAATAAAAAAGTCCGCTAGAATTGTGAAATGATAAGGGGTGTTAAGTGATGCAAATTAAGCTAAGATGACAAGTTTAAATTCTATTTACTGCCATATAAATAAATAATAATATATTAAAAATTGAGTTCTTATTTTATAGTTTAAATTGTAAAATAAAAATTATTAAATAGAGGAGACAATCTCTAATATTAAGAGACTCACCTCTCTATTTAATAGTTTAAATTATGCAATAACATTTTCTTTTAAAAAAATGAAGACAAGATCTCTTTACATTTAAAATATTAGGATTTCACGTGATATTATTTACATATTTTTAATAAATTATTGTTATATATTGATTTATTAAGAATATTTAAATAATTTCATAAAAAATTTTGATATTTTAATTACTAAAATATCCTAATTTTATTGTAATTTTTTTTTTGTTAAAAAATTATCATTGTACTTTCCTCCATTTTTCTTAGAAAAAAAAAAAAAGTGAGCCCAATGCTCAAAATTGGCCCATGCTAAAGGTCCTGGGCTTGGACAAAAAATGCCTAATTCGACCTAACCGGAATCTAACTCGATAAACAACCGGACCGGAGTGTTGTTCTTGCCTTTCTCCCCCTTGGCCGTCTGGTACTCATCCACTCACGCTTCACTCGGCAGAGCAAAGGCGTCTCTTCAGTTCGCTTCGTCATACCCTGCAAAGTGAGGTACGCCCCTTCGCATCGTAAGGAAAGAGTATACAAGTTTTGTTTCTTAGTTCATTTATTGATATTTGCTTCCAGTGAATAACATCGTCGAGTCATTCTGGATTGGGGATTTTTTATATAGCGACGCAATGCTTCTCAAGAGGCAAAAACTCTGGAATATCATAAAAAAGACGGGTTCTTGGCATTATTTTTGGATGGAATCCCAAACCTTGCAAAACCCATGTGCTTCGAATCCTCGAACACAGAACCCATTTGGGGTTTTGGGGGTTTTGGGGGTTTCTCCATATTCAACTCAGTCCAGTAAGTTCCCTGAGTATCAGATGCCCTCGGTTACATGGGGTGTTGTTCAGGGCAAGAAAGAGAAGCTAGTCAATCGGGTTAAAATCTGTGATTATCTTAAGAGCGTGGGAATAATTCCTGATGAATTAGAGAGTTTGGAGTTGCCTTCTACTATTGAGGTTATGAGTGAGCGTGTGGGGTTTTTGCAGAAATTGGGGTTGACCATTGATGATATTAATGAGTATCCATTGATGCTAGGTTGCAGTGTGCGTAAAAACATTATACCGGTGTTGGGTTACTTGGAGAAAATTGGAATTGCTAGGTCGAATTTAGGTGAGTTTGTGAAGAACTACCCACAAGTTTTGAATGCAAGTGTTGTTGTAGAGCTTGCTCCTGTTGTTAAGTTTCTTCGTGGACTTGATGTGGATAAGCAGGATATTGGATATGTTTTACAGAAGTATCCTGAGCTTTTAGGGTTTAAGCTTGAAGGAACAATGAGTACTTCAGTTGCTTATTTAGTGAGCACTGGTGTGAATCCAAGAGATATTGGTCCTATGGTGACACAGTATCCCTATTTCTTGGGGATGAGAGTTGGGACTATGATTAAACCGCTTGTTGATTATTTGGTTTCTCTGAGACTACCTAAGAAGATCTTGGCTAGGATGTTGGAGAAGCGGGCCTATATACTTGGCTATAATCTTGAAGAAACTGTTAAACCTAATATTGATTGTTTGATTAGTTTTGGAATACGGAGGGAATTCCTTGCTTCAGCTATTACTCAGTTTCCACAAATTCTTGGGTTACCTTTGAAAGCTAAGTTATCTTCCCAACAGTATTTCTTCAATTTGAAGCTCAAGATTGATCCAGAAGGGTTTGCTCGTGTGATTGAGAAGATGCCGCAGATTGTTAGCCTTAATCAACATGTTATTTGGAAGCCAGTGGAGTTTTTTTTGGGGCGGGGGATCTCTTCTGAGGATGTTGCCGCTATGGTTGTGAAATGTCCGCAGTTGGTTGCATTGCGAGTTGAGCGCATGAAGAACAGCTATTACTTTTTCAAGAGCGAGATGGGAAGGCCATTGAAAGAGCTTGTGGAGTTCCCAGAATATTTTACATATAGCTTGGAATCAAGGATCAGACCAAGGTACCAGAAATTACAAAGCAAGGGAATTAGGAGCTCCTTGAATTGGTTCCTCAACTGTAGTGACCAGAGATTTGAAGAGAGATTGCAGGGTAATTATATTGAATCAGAAAGTTTAGGCCCATCATTCTGTATGGGTGGGAAGCTTGAGCTACCGGGGAATGAAATTGAGTCAAATGAGGAAGAAGATGAGAGTGATGAGGACGTACTTTACAGACGTACTGTTTCTCTGTAATAATGTCTTTGTTTTGTTACACAACTGAACCATATTCAATTTAAAGTGTTATTTATCTCATCCATGTTTGTCTTTATTTATCCCTCTACCATATTGGATTCTCTGTTCTTAGCACACATTATACCCGTGCAGATGGTCACATGTATTTATTGATTTCTAAATAAAGGTCAGCTTGTCTGCATGAGAGTGCTGTAATTCTTCTGCCATTGATTCACTGTTATGGTAACCTGTTGGCATTTGAAACTGATGAAATGAAATAATTGGAGACATTTAAAAAACATTTTATGCAAACGGGTTTGGTTTTACGACTGCATTCAAGTTGTTGGAACCCGAGAGCTTGGAAAGGGAGGCTCTGTGATGATGTGGACATCCTATTGACTTCTGCTCGTGGATGGATTGATATTTTATGCAGAATTTGCAAAGCTGCACAACTTCTATTGTAGAACCACCTTTTTGTTGATGAATGTATCGGAAAGGTACATTCACAGATCTTGAACAGCTGCAGAGGAATAATAAGGTGTTTTGTTTCCTTTAACGGCTAATGTGTCAAGTTTTTGGTTATGAGGGAACGCTTCCCAAAATATAAGGTAGCTTACTAGTTCATTTCTTCTTATGTTGAATTATTAAGTACATTATTGGTGCTTTCTAGGACGTATGAATCTTCCAAGAAACGAATCCTTAGGTTTAAATACTCTTTAAAAGAGGTTAAGGCATTTGTCCACTAATGCAAACCACCCAAAAAATTTATGATCAGCTGTTATACAACAAATTTTCCATAGTACTGTGTATTTGACTACTTGGTATGGAGATTATAGCAGTATGAATAGAGTAGGCATGATGAATAAGTTTATTACTTTGCAATCCCATCTGGCTTCTCGGGGTTCTATTTTTGTCATCTGAACTTCTCAATTTCAAACACTCGGTCAGTTCCATCAAGTGAAGCTGAAACAAGATAACCTTGAGAAGCAGAAACTGACACAGATTGGATGGCATCAGAGTGTCCCCTGAAGGTTTCAACACATTCTCTGGAGAGACTGTCCCATAAGCGTACTTTCCCATCCACAGAACCTGTAGCTGCATATTTACATGCACCAATCCAGCTCACGCATGTAACTCCCTCCTGCAAATTGAAGGTCCTTTTGTTAGACCAGGGACATAAATTTTGTGTCTAAGTTCGAATGCTCTAAAAAGGAACTTTAACTGGAAGCAAATTAATTTTTGACTTAATAAATTACATTAGGTATCAAAGTCATAAATGGTATTTACTTATTTCAAAAGACAACTTTAGCACACCTCGTGTTCACATATGAACCGTGGCATCGAGTGCTGCAGATCCCAGATTATAAGCTTAGAATCCATGCCTCCTGTTGCAGCCCAAGGTGAACTGCCATGTACAGTTTTATGATGGAGACAAATCAATAAATCTATAACAAATGCATTCTGATTGTGTATTTCTGTATGTTATAGCAAAATTTATGTACTGTACATATTCTCATTTTTTAAGGTAATGTTATTTTTATTTTGTTTGACAAATATATTAAAAATTAATTTGTAATATTTTAGTTTAAATGATTCTAATTAATTTAATTGCATGTTAATTTTTCAACGTAAATTCCAGTTAGATGAGAATGTCCACAACATTGTGATGAAATAATGCCAAACCCAATTCAAAGCATAACATAATAAATTATATAAAGAATATTGCACAAAAAGAATTCATCCAAATTATGTTGAAGAAATTGAGTGGAATTAGTTAATT